TCAATGGAAAAAAAAAATATATGACGAGATAAACGATTAACTTGTAAAATAAATAAGTTTCAATCCTCTCTTTGAAGTATTAATCGAAAGGCTTATATAGCGTGTGTTATTATACGGCAATATTATGTCGCAATGCGACAGAGATTTTTTTATTTTTTTAATAGTCAATATTATGTCGCAATGCGACTTATTTTTTTAATAGTCAATAGCGCTAATTTGACTACATGCGCGTTATTTCGAATACGCCCATGGGCTTTATTTCGAGATAAAGTATTAATCCTGGAATCCGATTGTTACTAATGTTATAGACAGGTCGAATGAATAAGTATCAGATAAATGTTGGATACAAAGACTTCTGATATGCTACCGGTACGCTATATTTAGCGGTAAAATTCAGGTGCATTTTGGGGGTTTGTATTCCGATATTTACCCGTACTTGCTCTTCGAAGTGCGCACTATTTCGGGGCGCGCATGGGCGTTATTTCGAAACTACCTATGCTATTTTTAGGGAGCGCGATTTTCGAAATAACGCGCATGTATGCCTGCCATTTCGAGAATTTACGGTACAGTTTTTTTAGTGGGCTAATAACAATGGTTCAAATGGATCAATATCAATTTTTTTGCGACTTACAGTAATTAAACGGTATTAAATCAACAATAAACCGAATATTTGATATATGGGGTCTCCTACAACAAAGGAGTAGTAAAGAGATAATTTAATTTATGCGACAGTTTTATATCTACTAATTAAACCTCCAAAAAATACAATATAAAAATATCTATTGTTTATAAGCAAGTAGATATTTTTATCTTTTTAAAGGTTTAAATTGGTAGATACAGAATAACATTGTTGCAAATTTTCGTAAAATTAAATTATTCCACTGCTTCCTTTTGCTTCCTTTTGCTGTGGGGTTCCCATATAGTATATCGCGCACACATAATTTTAATTTTTATTATAAATTCTGTATCCCTGCTTGCATTATACAAACATTATTATTTCCTATAAATTTTGCAGCATTATACGTGGGCGTATTAATGCTAAATTTTACATTGTTATACTATTATGTTTATGTTAATATCGCATTGATAACAATAAATAGTAAAAGTATCCATATCTGATGAGCACTTACAAAGGAGAATGGCTCAACGCATAAGATACGGTATATCACGAGCTCTGCTCATGGAGGTCATTACTGCATTATGATAGATATTATTATCATTCCACAAATTTAAATTGTCAGCAAAAGCGACAGGTTATATATACTACAGTAACTCTTAATGAAAATATGACATCAAACCATAACTTATCTGTAGACATTATTACGCATTTGTGTAAGATGGAATCTTTTTAATAGATTGCCCATCAATAAAAGTCAAAAATATATATACCTCCATAATACTGTAGTATGATTACACTTGAGAGTTAAGTATTAATATTAATATATATATAAAACAATAAAAATTCAGAGCTCAAACCTTTTTAGTGATTGAAAGCTAGATTTATTTAATTGTATGTTACACGAGAGTTACAATCTGATTGGCAATCACCATCTTTGCGAGAATTCAGATTCAGCAAAACTTAAAATACAGTATATGAATTAAACAACTGATTAAAATTTTGATAAATAAATAAATAATCTAAAATAAAATAAATAATCTAAAATTAAATAATTGAAATAATTGAGTGTATTTTTTTAAAAAAAAATATTTTAGATAGAACTAAAATAGATTTAGGATTACTTAGATTGGAACATAATAAAAAAATAGAATTATTGGAACAATATTCTCCAAGATACAGAGATCTTCAATTCAACATGGAACACAGACGATAGTATCTTTCATTTATCTTCACGTGAAACTTTATTTTTTGACATTACAAAAAAAAATACGACGCGTTTATAAACCTTAAAAAAAAGTCAGATAAATATATAAATAAAACGAATATGTTGCTTACTTATTCTATCAGGTTGTCAATATTAACGTCAATATTAGCTGTGGAGAACATTCTTTAACCAATCTCGCATGAATTAAATTAAATAACAAAAATAAGCAAGTTATTATTCCTAAACTTTATTCTTTATCACAATAAATATTGAATACGACAAAATATTTGATAATTATAGTATTATTTCACAATACTATTTATTGATTATATAAAATTATATATCCAAAAACACTTTTTGAGCTTTTCTATTAATAACCTGTGATTTATTGCAGTAATAATAATAAACCTGATCGAAAGGAAGTATGATGTACTGCAGTCAAAAATTAATTTTTAAATATCAAAGTTTAATAGATTGATTAAATAATAATCACACCATCGAGCGTTATTTCGCGCCTATATGCTAATTAAAACGATATTTGTATTTTAAGTTGTCGGAATAATAAATTACATATACAATACACCCAGTCAAAACAGATCCTGACAAAATCAGTTTCTGATATAATTATTAGACTCTTTAAACTTGATAATCATCCAAAAACTGATACAAAATCAGTCCGTCATGCATGTAAGTTTTGACAGAGTAAACAGTACTGTACAGCATTCTAAACACGTTTCGAGTAATTTTGAAAAACTATTTATTCAACCCATTTTCGTATTTTATGTTTACATGAAAAAAAAAATGCTTATATATTTTTTTTCATGTAAAATACGAAATTGATTAATAAAAATTATCCAAAATTATATGAAACCTTCAGGATATATGCAATTTATTATCTCGAACAACTTAACAAGACACGACTCGTAGAGTTTTGATTTTTTATAACGGTAAATAGATATGATCATCAATTATATCTGGTGACCAATTATTATTGGTTAAGAGGTATTAGGAAATTCATGAACATACGTACGTTAAATGACCTTCTAAATCTTTGAAATTGGGCCGATGATTAGTCATTTAACACATTTCGTTATTTAGCATTACTACATAATATAATCCACAAAGAAACAGTATAATTTTCAGACCTGATAGATTCGATTTTTGATAAATGGATTAAGTCAAAAAAAGCAATCCCGAAATCCAGAATCAAAAATGCAAAACGTAACAGCTCGAATTTTCGAGTTGAAACATGTAACACAGCCGCAGAGTTTACCTGAGTGATTCAATTCTTCTTTGTCACCACACACTACCCGCATCTACTTTCAAAAAAGAATTTTTTTTATACTTGAATATGTACGTATGTTCGAACTTATTTTACGCCGAGTGGCGGTGATCAGTGCCGACTTTTTTCCGTATATATATATCATTCTTACCTAGTGTGGTTAGATTGATATCAAAAAAAAAAAAGAAAACGTTGTATTAAAAAATTAAAATGTAGATTAACATTTAAATGGAATATAATATACCGTATATATTGTATATAGATCATTGTAGATGTCGATATTAGCAAATCATTAAAACTTGTTCAGCTAAGAATAGAAATTGGTGAGTACAAAGATTGTAAAGATTGTAAAGATTGCAAAGAATTCACACGGATGCAATTTTAGTGCTAAATTTAAATGATGTCATATGAACGAAAGAACACATAACATTCTTTACACAATTTTTTTCTTTATTATCCCATTGCAGCATTGTACGTATAGTGCGTAAAAAAAAAAAAATTTAGTGCGTGTTATATATACATTAAGGTTTTCTTTCATTGTCGGGGACTTTCCGGACCAATCTTTATTGTGTGAAAAAAAATAACAATAAAATTTAGGACTATAAAATGAATCATATTCAGAATATTTGACTCATGATCAGTGAAATGTTACATACGTATGTACGTACGTGCATATGTGCAATCATATCAGATATGTAGCATTACATAAATTTCCAAAATTCGTTTCGCTAAAGGATCTATATTTATAAATCTATAATTAACCCAACAAAATAAACAAATAACTTTATTTAGATTATTGGATCATATATGTAAAGAAAAAATTTTATTTTTTTCGATACTTATACGTAGTACTTAATTACTGAATTTATTTATTCATTTTGTTTATTTTATTATATATATAAATATATATATTTTAAAAAAACAAACACGCCAATATTAATTTGGTTAGTGCAGCGCAGAAACATGTTTGAACTTTTTTTTTTTTTTTTTTTTTTATGTTACGTTTAATTTAAATCAAAAAGAATAAAAAAAGATAATTTTCCAAATTTTTAAATCAAATGGTCCGAATGAAAATCTTAATATATGTGAAAATAAAAAAGTTTACGTGCAAATATGTTAAATATGTTTCAGTATATATATATATAATTCATTTTTAGATTTATACTGCGCTGGAGATTGTCTCCGAAAGTTTATAAAGTAATGATTGAATTTATTATGTATCGTAATCTAAAAAAACTGAAACCGCATAATACTGTTATTCCTTTTCCGGGACGTTCGATAATTGCCGTTAGGTGTGCATAACTTATTTATTTTTTGTATAACATATAAATTATCGATTACGTATAAAATAAAAAATAAATAAATACATTAAAGAGAAATTCGGTAGCTTTTTTAAAACGAGACAAACAGTTTAAGTATAAAATTTATTTCTATGACGCAAATCACAAAAAAAAACAATTGCGGATTATTACATGCCTGGAAAATTTATCGTATTAGAATCTAACGCTACATACTGCATTAAGTGGGGACGAAACAGATTATCATCCCATTCTGGCAAATCTAATTGTCTAACTTTCCCAAGACTCAGTTTCCCGTAGGGAACATTCGATTATAACAAGATTAGTCTGATTAATGATCATAATAAATTATTTGGTTTTTATGTAACACCTAAATCTATATATCTAGTTCTCACTATTATTTCGAAAGTACTTTTTTTTTTTTTTAAAAAGAAATCGGCGTTTAAAAAGGAGTATAATAATATCATTATATCAGATATATACTTACCCGTTGATTTCGTTGATTTCTTGATTTCGTTGATTTTTTGGTTTTTTGATTTTTAATAATAATATAAACACAATTTTTTTTATGATTGTTGGCTAGTTAAAGATCCCTCAATGTCTTTAACTGAGCTATCAACTAACTTCATGCACACGCAACCTTTTCAAATCGGGTCGTTAGATTATGACCCTAAAATTCAATCAATATTCCCAACATACTCCATAAATGCCTTTCGTTCTGGAAATGATCTTCCTACTCCTATGACTCCTATAACCTATGCTCACTCAAATACTGATGTTATGACAGATCCGATTAACGCTAGAACTCAACCTGCAACTCTGTATACTGAAACCAGTTTACATCGCCATGTCGATCATGCTAACAATAGATCTCCTATTCAATATCAAGCTAATTATGCACCAATTACAGCTGGTGAAAATCAGCAAATCACTAATTCATCTCGTCCAGGAGGAGTTCTTGATGAACGAAAACCTATTTATACAAATACTGATCCTGTTGAAAATCCTATAAACAATGAAAATATTTCTCCTCAAATTTCAAATTTTAATATTTTTCCAAGACCAAGATTACCAAGATTATCTTTACCTGAACGTTCAAATTTTAATGCTAATAGAGAAGTTAATAGAGAAGTTAATAGAGAGGTTAATAGAGAGGTTAATAGAGAAGTTAATAGAGAGATTAAAAGAAGTGCAAAATCTCTAATATCAAGAAAAGCTAGGTCTTCTTCGGATCCGGCAAAAAATCTTCGGATTTCTCGTTCTGATATTGGTCTTTCACTTTCTTTCGAAAATCGTTCAACTATTATACCACCACCTCTACCTGTTGGTTCTTTATCAATGGTCAAAAATTATCAAAAAGCGGATCAACTTTATATTCCTCAACAGCAACAGCAGCAACAACAATTACAACAACAACAACTACAACAACAACAACCATCTCCACCATCTCCTTGGAAACCTAATCATGATAGAAATAGATCTTTTGATTATCAATTTGATAAGACTATAAATTTACCATCAATTTCAAATTCTTATTCAAGTCTTAATTCTCCTATTTTAAATGATCTAAATTATACTCCATCATCAACAAATCAGGATTCTTCTTCAACTTCTTATTATCGTATACCTGATTATTCAAGGTATTCTGATCCTATTAAATTACCTAGTGAAACTTATCATCTTTATGGTTCTGAAACTAGTTCTTTTGATTTTGTATCAAATCATTCTATTAATTTTATTAATGGTTATGATAATCGTTCAAATAGAGATTTAGATTATAATATTAATAATCATAATTTTCCAAAGAAACGAAGTAGTTATTTATTAAGTTCCGTTGCTAGAAAGCACTTTACTATTTTTAGAAAACCTAAAAAAACTTTTCTTCCTTATCAAAAAGCTATTAAAGCTTTAGATGATTCTCAATTTAATGAGGCTATTAATTTATTCTCTTTAGTATTAGAAAAATATCCTCAAAGTTATTCAGTTAGATGTGATCGTGCTTATGCTTCTTATCAAATTGAAGATTGGGATAGAGCAATTGATGATTTATCTATTGCTATTGAAAGAAAACCAAGGAAATCTCGTGCTTATTCACTTAGAGGTGAAGTTTATAGACTTTTATCTTTATATGAAGATTCTTTAATTAATTTAAATAAGTCTCTTAAATTACAAAAGAGCTTATTCGCTTTAAGATCTCGTGCTGAAGTTTTTATTGCTATTAATCGTTATGATGATGCAATAATTGATTTAAATTTGGCTTTAGATATTAAACCAAATAATGTTTTTACTATGATACGTAGAGCAAAAGTTTATTATTTAATTGGTCAATTTAATAATGCTTTGACTGATTTAAATAATGCTTTTGAATTGGATCGTTCAAATGCTACTTCTGCTCCAACTTTATCAAATCGTGGTGAAATTTATAGATTAATGGGTCGTGATGATTTGGCTCTAATGGATTTAAATGTTTCTTTACAACTTAAAGAAGATGTTTTAACTTTAGAAAGAAGAGGTCAAGTTTTTTTATCTTTAGGAAAAGATAATGATGCTTTGGATGATTTTGAAAGAATTTTAAAAATTAATCCTCAACATTTTACTGCTCATAAGAACATTGCTAATCTTTTATATAAATTTAAACGTTATGAAAAAGCTCTTAAACATTTTACTTATGCTTTAAATTTAAAATCTGATGATTTCTTTTTATTAAAATCTAGAGCTATTATTTATCAAAAACTTGGTTTTAATAATAATGCTATAAAAGATTTTACTTCTGCTTTAGTTATTTATCCTAATAATATAGATTTATTAAGATATCGTGGTGAAAATTTTAGATTAATTCAAGAATTTGAAAATTCTATAAGGGATTTTTCTAAAGTTTTGGAATTAGATCCAAAAAATGTTTACGCTTTAACTAGACGTGGTGAAGTTTTTCGAATGTTAAGACAAGGTTCAAAAGCATTAAGAGATTTAGATGAAGCTATAAGATTTGATCCTGATAATATTATGGCAAGAGAAAGTCGTGGTGCAATGAATAGAACTTTAAGAAGATTTGAAGAATCTTTAAGAGATCTTGATGAAGCAATTTATTTAAATCCAAATAGTGTATTTGCTCTTAGTAATCGTGGTGCTGTTTTTTATATGTTAAGAAGATGTAATGAAGCTTTAATTGATTTGAAAAAAGCTTTAAAGATTGATTCGAACTTTACATTTGCTTTAGAAACCAGAGGTGCTTTATATAACGTATTGGAAAAATATGATGAAGCTTTAGTAGATTTGAATAAGGTAATAGAATTAGATCCAAAGAACATTTGGGCATTAACTTATCGAGGTGAAGCGTTAATTGCATTAAAAAGAAATGATGAAGCACTTGAAGATTTGAATAAAGTACTGGAAATATCTCCTAATTGGGAATATCCATTATCATTACGTGGAGCTATTTACCGATCTTTAGATAAGAATGAGGAAGCATTGGCAGATTTGGAACGCGCATTAAATAATATGAGAGATAAAGCGTTTAATATTGATTATGAAACTAAAGCTTTATGTAATCGAGGTGCTGTTTTATTTAAAATGGGAAATTATAATGAGGCTTTGGTTGATTTTAATAAGGTTTTAGTAAGAGATCCGAAAAATTTATTTGCTCTTAATGAACGAAGTGCTATTTATGAAGCTTTAGGAAAGAAAGATAAAGCGATAGAGACAAACAATTCGCCGACTGTTGAATCTGAGAAATCCTCTTGATTTTATCTTGATGTTGTCATCGATTGTTGAATCTGAGAAATTCCCTTGATATTTTCATTAATATTTCCCTTGATATTTTCATTAATATTTCCATTGATATTTTCATTGATATTTTCATTGATATTGATTGTTGAATTTGAGAAATTGTCGTCGACCGTTGAATCTGAGAAATTCCCTTGATGTTGTCGTTGACTGTTGAATCTGAGAAATTCTCTTGATGTTGATCGTCTCGAAAAACTCAATATAGTATATATGAAAAGAACGTTGGAATCAACTTTATGTTTCATATTTCCATGTATCATACCACGTGTAAATATAGCACATAGTATTCGTAGTAAATAATGGACATTTTTGATAAAAAGGTTTTTTTTTCTTTTTTTTTTTTTTTTCTATGTAATTACTAATAAACTATATTTTGCTGGTCAAGGAATTTTATGTTGTCATACTGTAAACTATTTATTATTTATTTGTATAATATTTTACGTTTCTGAATTCTTTAATTTCGAATTTGTTGGGATTTTGATGTACCTGGTGGACCTGGTGGACCTGATTGGGATTGGAAACGCGATAAATTATACTTGCGGTTAATCGTTAATAATCATAATCGTATAATCGTTTGTTAATCTTTTAATAGCTTTAATTTGTACTTGCGATACGATATATTGAAATAAAATCATAGATTTTCATAAAACAGCAGACTTCTCTAAATGCAGGCTTTTCATAGGACGTGCATTGTTATCGTTAATTTTATTAAATAAAAACTCTAATGACAATTAATATAAAATGAAAGTTTTAAAAACTCCGGGTTACAGACATTAACGAAGTATAAAATTTTTTAAACCAATTAAGCTAATAATTTAACTATTTTTAAAACTTTTACTCGACATATTAATAAAATTTTTAATATCGATATGTCTTTTAAAATGAATTTTTATAACATGACTCGCGTGACGATAGGTTCATCTCGCGTAATATCTAGGTTTAAACTCTTTTATTTACCGTATTCTACCGTAAATAAGCACAACCCCACCTTTTAAATATCAGATCAGAGGGAATAACTTGCTAAAAATCTCATTGTGATTTCCGTTAATCTGACAATTAAAAAGGTGGGTAGAAAGGCGTGCTTATTACGATAGAATGGATAAAATGCGGGCTCTACCTCAGAATTCCGACATAAAATTCGGGATTTTGAATTACCGACAACCACTTCCCCGGCAACTATTTTTCCGACAAATATTTCCCCGCCATAACGATAACCATTTCCTCGACAACCATTTCCCCGACATGACCATTTCCTAACATGACGTGATTGTTAGAAATGGTCATGCCGGGGAAGTGATTGTCGGGAAAATGGTTATGGCGGGGAATATTTTTCGGAAAAATAGTTGTGGTTGTCGGGTAATTATTGGTAACCCGATTTTGAGTGTCGGGGATTTTGGGTGTTGGGATTCTGAGGTAAACCAATCTTAAGAACGAAACTTTTGAGTTTACTAATTTCCCCCGCCACTTCTGATTGGTTCTACTAATTATTCACATAGTGCTATTAATTATAAGTTATTGCCCGGTTACTTGTTACTGCTATACCAAATTTTGATCATTTTGTACAGTTGAGTTAAAATACTTATTAGATAGAGTTGATTATGTTATCAACTTGTCTAATAAGAATTTTAAAACTCAATCGTACAAATATGATCAAAATTTTGGTACGGCAGTAACAAAATGGCCGTACAATAATTAATAGGTATAGTATAGCCTGTTAGATGAGTATGGTAAATTTTGGTATACATTATATATAGTAAATATCGAAAGTATAACTGTATATGTATATTTTTTATGGCATTTATTTACATAATGTATAGCTTGAATCAAGTTTATACATTATGTATAACTGCTACACGTTGAGATCTAAGTGAACATGGTTGGTTAGAGAATTCGACTCCAATTATTAAGTAGATTTAAAATTAAAATTTAATTAATCACTATCAAATTCTTATAAAAAAAAAAAGTTTTTATTCGTTAAATCGCTCTATACTGTAAATTTTTAAAACGACTGAGCTGCAAGACTATCCATCTTATCTCCAATGCATTTGAAACTTATTAAATTTTTCAATGGCAAATCTTAATCGACGTCGTAAACCAATTGGACAGTTTTAGTTTTTGGATACCATGTCCAAAATCTGTCCAAAACCCAAAATTGGTTTTGGACAAATATTATATATGCATATATGTCGTAGATAGGAACAGAATTTAAGTTGGTTCAGAATTTTTAATTCCATTCTAATCTAAGTGGATTCCGAACATATTATGATTCCATTCCCACTTACAACATAATTTTCGTTAGCCGATCAAATATTTTCCAGCAAAATTGTACAGTATTTGCTCGATTAGTGCACAGAGCTAGTTTAAAATTTTTGCCTGAATTAGCTTAATTCGGCCATAATTTTAAACCACACTTCTGAGCTTTATTTCCAATATCCAGGTCAATATTTTTCTATATACTATTTAATATTTTTTATTATATAAATAGAAAAAATTTTATATTAATCTTTATTTATTTAAATATAAAAAATTCGAATATAATATGTGACGGGAAGAAAAACCTGTAATCCTGAAAAATAAATATGAATTTTTATAATAAACTATTTTTAAGAATTATAAGTTTTCTCTTCCCGTCACTTATATATGTTACTATATAATTTCAAAATAGTTTGGCCATTTTCGAACATTTTTGGACATGTCCAAAACTGTCTAATCAAAATTTTAATTGGACAAGTCCAATTCCCATCACTGTCGTAAATCCTTATTACACATGAATATTATATTAAAGTTTTTCAAAATCCATTAAATACAAAAATATTAATTAAACCTGTAATGCCTCTTTCTCGCTTATGACTCATTTAGGCCTAATAAATTTCACAAATATTTTTGCTTGACAGAAATCTACAACATTTCTTTAAATTCTTTATTTTTTACAAATTGCCACCAAACATAATATTCTCAAAGATTCCCTATTGAAAATTAATTTTTCTAGTATAATATCTATTATTATATTAGTTCTTTTGGTTGATTAATCAAACATCAAATTTGAAGGAAGCTATTTCGAATTCTACAAATTTATAGGTTGAAAACACCTTAAACATTTAAATTAACCAAGTCAAATTGGGGATATTTTCATTCAAAGTTTGGAAAAAACAAAAGTTGAATGGCAAAATTTGAATTATGCTACAGTAATCTCTCTATATAATCACCTATATATCACAATCACTATACAATCATATATACCATTTTTTTTATATTAAATATACCTCTATATAGTCACAATTATATTATAATCACTATCACATTTTTTAGAATTTGTTGGATGATTTTAATAATAAAATTACCTCTTTACAATCATATTTATAACATAAAACAAAAAAATGACCGTCTGAACTTTTATTTAAAAAATTTAAATTATAAAATTAGCAGTTTTTATATAAAAAATAAAACCTGCTCCAACTAGGTATAAGAATGGATGGGCTATTAGACTGATTAAATATAAATTATTATATATTATTACCCATTTATTATTATAGTTTTTATTCAAATTATTATATAGTTTATTATTTGTTTTATTACATAAAAGCTACTTCTAAACTAGAGATGCAATCTGTTATCTAATTTCTACAGTATTTAAGGATTTTTTATAATAATTTTGTTGTAAAATTATATTAGAGAATATCTAGATCACATCTCTAGCTCTAAACAAATATTCAAACCTGCCTATTATTATTAAAATTAGTGATTGCATGTGCATAGATTTTAAGAATCATACACATGATTTTGTAGGTATATTTTAGTGTATCTTGTACTATAAGTTTATCTAAATAAATAATTAAAAATATTAGAAAAGATCTGTTAATATAATAAAATAGAGATCAATTAAAAAAAAAATCAATTAAAATTTGTTATCTATACAGTTTATTGTCCATTACAAGTGTTATATATATTTTTACTAATCATTTTTTTTGTATTCTTAATTTATTTCATTTTACCAATTTATTTTAAAGTTAAAAATATGAGTTTCATAGCTGTGGGAGTAAATCTGAATTTCAAAAATGTATAAAAGACTAGTGATGGATCAGTCTATCACAGTCTGATTTAATAGTGTTAATTAGTTTGGTTAGTCCGTCTTTTGGTCCTGAAATTAGTCTTATGATAAAAACTTTTTAATGCTTATTTTTATTAATTTAAGCTTCAAAACATATATATTCTTATATTTTATTAATACAATATATATACTAAATATTCATTATACATAAAAAATGTATTTTTTTACATGTAGCTAATTTAATAAAATTTTATATGAAGCTAATCTAATATGATTTCATGCAAAGCTAATTTAATAAAATGTTTATTGTAAAATGTATTTTTTTTCTATATGAAGCTAATTTAATATTTAATAAAGCTAATTTAATGCAATAAATAATTAAATAGAGCAAGTTTTTTTTTAAATCCAACTTTTTAAGCACAAAATTGCCCTTGCTGATTTATTATCTAATTTGCTTCTTTTGGTTGAAATTGTAAGACCAGCTATAGAAAAAGCTTGCTCTGAAGCCACACTTGTGACTTGTATAGACAAATAGTTCTTTGCAAAAGTAGGATAGTTTTTTTTGCATTTGCCACTATACTAATGGATTCAAATTATTCTTTAATAGCAAAAATAAATATTTTTCTAGTTTATTTCATAAATTACTTGATAGTATATTTGCTGATAATGTAAAAGAATTAGAAATATTAAAGGTAGTAGAAATAGACGAAGCAAAAGAAGTAGGGTGAATAAATTGAGTAGAAGAAATAGAAGATGCAAAAGAAAAAGAAATAGAAGTAGCTGTGCTGCTATTTTGTAATGTTTGAAAATAACTTTGTATATTAATAAATTTATCTGTTGAGATAGTTACTAGTAATTGTGATTTTATATTATATCCTAGAAGATTTAGAATTAGTTGCTTTATTTGATT